AACTGTCGACAAAGAGAACAGAGAGGGGAAACAAGATAACAGACACAAGTACATAGTTTTGCCCTCTTGACACTCAATCCCATTCTATTCAAGACCTTTTAACCCTCCCTTCCCCGCCTCAAGTAAGTGAATATCCAAGGTTTATCAGCAACCAACCACTTAATTCACATGGAGGCCCAAATTTGAAGAATTATTAGCTGTTTTGTCCATGGCAAGCAACTAAATCTACACCAGTATCAAGATGAAGGACACGAAACTCATAAATCAAAATATCCTCCAAAAGAACTGATAAATAAATAACGACCTAATATTAAATAAAAAATGGTTTTAACCTAAACATCATGTCAGTCCGTGATTCATGCATGCTAACTCTACTGACCCCCAGAGATCACCAGGCAGGATCTATGCTTTGAGCAGTGAAGGCAGACAAGGAACAAAGTAAGTTTAGACCACCACGACCAAAATCAAGCTAACTACCTGCATATATCTCGAAGCATCCTGAGTCTCCTGTGCCAGCTAAGCTTCTTCCTCTGACCACTCATGTGGATCAAATAGTACAACGAACCCATTTCCACGTACTCTGTAATCATAGATAAGCGCGGAGGTCTAGTGCATGCACCCAGAAACAATATAACTGCAAAACAGACATACCAATAAGCTGGATGGATAGAGGTAACTGAACAAAAGAGTTGCAGATATGTCTGATAAATATCTTAAAGAAATATTACAAGAACCAAAACGAAAGGAAATGGGCAAAAAGAGAGGAAATTACCATTTGGATGGCGAAGACGGCTGAAGAGAGCACAACAGACATACAAAACCATTAGTAGGAGAACATAGGAACTTATTTAAGAATGATGATGCATTGGCAAGATAATACCTGAGAATTGATATCTCATTGCAAAAATCTTCCATGTTTTCAACAGTAAGATCTTGCTCCAGAAACAATTTGATTGCAACATCTGTTCCATTCCAAATTCCACGAAAAACTTCTCCAAAAAACCCTAGACATGTAAATAGAAGAGGGTTTTTCTATAAGCTATATGAAACTTCAGATACAGATACCTTCACAATTAGGTTTCACAACACATTAAAACTTGTAACAACCAAATGCATGCTTACCAATTCCCACCCTAGTCCCAACAGTCAACTCTGAGAAGTCAATATTCCATTCTTGATATGGTAACAAAGGCTGATTCTGGAATGTTGAAGATTCAAGAACCTTATTCCATGAATCTTTCACAGCAAAGTCTGAAGGCCCTCTTCTTCCAAATGCTTGGTTCCTGTAAGCATGAGGAGACGATGGCAATGACATCGCCTTCTGAGGATTTAAGTCATCACCAAGATGGAGGCCAGACACCTAAAAAAGGCACAATATATTAGAGATAGAAGCTAAAAAGATAATAAGATTTTCCAAAGAAATTCAGAGCTTTTAAACTGCCACACAAATACTCACAGGAGTGAAATGGAAGAACTAACAAAAACATGAACCCCTTACTAGAAGAGAACTTCAACTTACATTATTCTGTACACTCGAGCTGTTTTCATCCCCCCGGTTATGCAAGAGACGATTTTGCTTCAATTTATCATTCATTGCTCTTACAGCCCTTAAGTAATTTGTGAAAACAGAGTTAAAGCATGAAGAGATCATAAGGTCATAGCTTGAGATCAAACTCTTCATATGTTTTAATTCAAATGCTGAATAACAGTATCACAACTCACAAGGTTACAGAGCAGGCTATAAAAATGTCACGGACGTTTCTATAAGTGAGAATATACTTCCTGCTTGGTTATAATACCATGCAGAACAATACCTAAACACTGAGTGAGATAAAAGGCTGTCTTCTCTGTTACTGATGATATAATTTCATATGATTTGCCAGCAGTTAATAGAGGACATTAAGTTACCAGATCTTAAAACTTAGTATAGCAGTTCAGATTCTGATCTAAATACTTAAAAACCAATCTGAAAATGCAAGAAATTGTATTGAACCATGAATGAAGAAAGATAGTGCATAGGAGAACTAACCTTACAATGTCATCCCCAATCTCTGGTGTAACACTAATACTTCGTCGTCTATTTCTACGTGTCTCCGATGTAGATGCACTGTTGGACCTGTAGCTGCATAGAGTGAAAAAAGTCACATCACAGTAAATTCACAAATCCATTGTTTTGACAAACATTTATTCATCAAACAATGCTAAAGTTGCTAGCTAATTATACGACTGCATCAAACTAAACAACCAAGATATTAACTGATTCTTAAGATGCAGTCATAAAAAACATAAATAAGCCACCCAAACAGACATAAAATGAAACGGAAGCCTCGGTCAAGTTAACCAGCTCAACCAAGCCAATAATAGGTGTGAGGTAAAATGGAATGACAATTCATGTGCCTTTATGCTTGAGCAAGTAATGAAACTTCTTGCATGTACTAAAGTAAAAATGAGAGCAACCTTGAAGGAGATGCATCACCCATGCAATCTCTATTTGAATTCCTACCAGCACCTAACATAGATCGTCCACGTGATCGCATAGAAGGATGTTCTGGGCTGCAGATGCAACAAATGATTAACTTGGGTCGGTTGACCAGAATCAAGTCGATGTAAGACAAAAGCTAAATACATGAAGTCGTGCACTTAAGTTCGAAGACCTGAGAGCAAATGAAATCACAAGAATCTAAACAATAATTGCAAGAGAGTTTCCGGTTGATCATGGGATGGGAATAGTATATTCCCAGTCAATAATGACAGAGCCCAAGAAACAAGAACCACCCAGTGCTTATACTGCTCAAAGGGTCAAATCACTGAAGCCGACCATTAAACATTACAACATATATCATTTTGTTATTACAGCATGTAGGAGCAGCAACAAAACAAAGAGAAACGGATTTTTTGAGTTATTACAGCATCCACAGAAAAAAGAGGGAGGTACCAAAGCAAATAAATTTCATTTTCCAGTATAATCCATGGCCCAGAAGGAACTAAACTAACCTTGAGCTAGCTGTTCTCTGCTCAGCAATGACTTTTCGTCGGCTACGTCTCCAGAATGCAGTTGCAATATTTGGTTCACTGTGTGAGGAATTGCTGAACGAAGAAAAGCACATCACTATAACTACCGTGGCTGTAGGAAGTCCAGGATACAACCTGCCATAAATATTATTAAATGATACCTCAATTTCCTCTCAATGGTGGTAGCAGGTCGGAACATTAGATTACGCAATGACGGACCAGATACATTTGGATATCCTTCTAATTTCCGATGAAATTGAAGAGTTTCATCTTTTTCTGCGCTGCAACATAGGAAATGTGACTTATCAACAACAGAACCTGCTTAAGATAAGAAGCTGTGCTGATAAAAACCTAAAGCTGCATAATTCATTAGAAAAGAATCAAACAACAAGAACCTGTCAGGATCAATTCTATCTGAATAACCATATAAAGGACTGTTAGGCTCCAAGGGTGAGTCACATGAGTCATTTTCTGCAGAATCACTCTCTCCGGTAGCTGAGATGTGTGACATGAAAATTGCTTTGGCTGACTGAGGCACCAGCTGCCCAGGAAACCTCACAAGATCAACAAGCAGTTCGACAGAGTTTAGCACAACCATAACAGACATGTGTCTGTCAGAATCCACGCAATCCATAGTCCCATCGTTAGGAAGACCCTGAGCATGTAAATAAGAGGAAAATTTTGTTGGCCTATCGTTTCCAAATAGCATGTCAGTCAATTGACTTATAAAAGCAAATCACCAATGTGAGATAATTTCATGTAAACATTTTTTAACAAATTATCAGATAAACAAATAATAGTTCGATACAACAAAAGATGAGGCTCACCAACACCAGCCGACTTTCAAGTCCAACAGCATCTCCTAGAACTTTGAACAAAATCGCCCTTGTACGGCAAGAACCACGCTTTATTTGGCCAAGCAGCTGGGCACCATGGTTTTCGGACAAAAAAGCAATTTCCTCTACAGCAAGTTTTGACGGACTTTCCAGAGTCGGACGTTTATAGAAGTCAGCTACCTGTTTGTGAAAAATGAATTAAGAAATAGAAAGAATGTCTAAGCCAAATAACATGACATCTGAGAATTGCAGAAGTTTCCTCAACAGTCTTCTAATAATATCGATACAGTCAAATTCTCCCTTCTGTTGTGAGGGGATGGAGAAAAGACCTATTGAATCAGTCCTTTATCTAAGACCTCAGATGGTACCCGTACCCCATGATTCTCTTGTACAAGTCATACATACAAAGGCCGACAGGTACAGCACACTCATCAATTCCCTTTGATGCAAAATGTGCAATATGCAAGCTTGGCTCAAACCATAAATTAACGATATCCCACGACTGCTTAGCTGGTGAAGAAAATACAAGTTGAAAAAACAGTATTGAAAACAAACTAGACGGGAGTGTGAGAAAACACAACAACGGACGATGCTTAGGACATAGAGAGATCCCAATACACGAAAGAGAGAGGAGTTATCATGGGATCCCTACCAATCCAGCTATTTTCTTAATCACCAAGGCTGTATTTGAGCTCAGTCCTTTTACAAGTGTAGAAATCAACTGCTTAAGCATTCCTAGCTTCTTATCCTTCTGAAAATCTACGAGAATGACCTCAGTTCTGAAACCTTCTTCAGCCAGAGCATGAAGCTCGTCCAAAGTAGGTAATCTGCTAAATAGCTCCTTGAGTCTTTTATCCTGAAGCAAATTACACATTAGAAGCTGAATCTTCCTAATAACAGGGATTAAAAAATAGTGAAAAAAGCTATAATATCACACTTTGCAACAAGGTTCATTTTGTGAGGCGCCACTCAATGCGATAGTGCATAATAAGGAACTCAGTTTTGAATGAGATAATCATCTTTGATTAAAAACAGAGCTGGTGACCAAGAGAGATCTGACCCAAAAATGCAGGAAAATTGATAAATGGCACAAAAAGGTAAACCATGCCACAGGACTAAAAGTTTCACAGATAATGATGGTCTTGGTGCAGATCATTAATATATTGGTAATGTTCAGTCTCAGACAAACGAGAACACGAGTGAATTAGTAAGAGCCGAAAAAAGTTTAATTGCGCACCGGAGTGACAGAGTAGAAACCATTCGGAATGGGTTCAGAAAGCACTCCACTGTCCCAAAGATTTTGTGATGCTCTATGAGCTGGAGACCCATCTTGCTCGGCATTTCTTGAGGTCTCTTTACTCAAGGACTCACCTTGAGATTCAAAAGAAACAGAATCAAACCTTTCCACAATGTCAGAAGGCCACCATGTTGAACTTGCAGATCCCTGCTCTGAAGGGCCAGCATCATCTCGTCTCTCTTCCATCTCTCCAGGTCTTTGGAATGTTCCTTAACCCATTAAAGGCTTTACAAGCTGAGAAAAATTCTCAGACTGAATGGAAGTAAAAACTAGAGACATCCACTCTTTCTCTGCATTACATGGGCAAAGTGGGCACTCAACCTTCAAAACAGAAAAATTAAAGCAAACTGAGAAATGTTGCAGAGGACAAAGAATATAGACCAAGAAGAACAGGACATGAAGAAGCAAGGTGTCCTACTCTTTTATTAGACACAGCGAAAAACCATCATCATTACGCATCAAACGGAACGGAACTTGTGTCACCTCGGCATTAAACCCATTGGTCCACAGTATAGATATCAGAGAGATTTAAAGATAATTGACAAGTTTCCACATGAAAGGTACAACCCGTAGGGACATTAAGTGATAACACAACCAGTCGACATAACAATCCTACACCTAAAATACGTATTGCTCTGCATTCGCACGGAAGCCGGGAAAAACTCAGATATCAAGCTAAAGGATCAGAGACCCGGTCCACGAATCTTCAGCATAAAAAAAAACACTGACAAAAATTTATTAGAAAGCAAATTCAAGCCGCGAAATGGAAGCAAAAAAAAAAACCCGAATCCAAATCGGAAGCGTCGAGATTATCACGTAGCATCACATTTTTATCTATGAATAATTCAGGATAAACCGTAAATTCAACCATTCAACATCCACAAAAACCAGTAAACCCTAACTCGACCGAAACCCAATCGACCAATTGTCGAATAGAACGCAGAGTCCGCTGGAGAAAAAAAAACGGAAACCAGAAAAACGAGAGAAGAAAAAAGCACGAATCGGAAGAATCATAGAAGGGATAATACCTTGGTAAAACAGAGGATGGAAGAGAAAAACAATGGAGTATCTCAGGCTGAGGACATGACGGAGAAGAGTCTCATCTCATCGTATAGACTCTGACGCGCCGAGAGAGAGAGAGAGAGAGAGAGAGAGAGAGAGAGAGAGAGAGAGAGAGAGAGAGGAGTCGCTTGTACTGGATTCCTACTCGTTCAGATGGAAGACATGGGAAGCCAGTTATATCAATTTCAAACTCACCAGTTGCCCCAGCTGATCCTGTAGTATCTAATGTCCAAGTGAAGAAAATTTCATCGGATGCGTATTCTGGAGAAGGAGAGTATTTTGGTGGGTATGAAGGTGCCAGTCTGTTCAGTTGGTACAGAGAAGCTAATGATGGAACCATCAATCAAATTGATGGGGCTAACTCCAAAACTTATGAGGTGACCGAGTCAGATTACAATTGCCGGATACTCTTTGGGTACGATACCTTTGCCACTGACATGCTTCCATGACTTTGACTTACTTTGCAGCATGCATCTTGGGTTCATTTGGAATATATGCGTCAATAATCCTCTTGCAGTACCTATGGGCTTTGGCTGTTTAGACATCTAGTAACCTTTGGCTTTGAGTTTGTGTACTTTTATTTTTGGCTCTCAACCCGACAAGAAACTGTTGCCTATGTGTTTAGGAATCAAAGCCCTAAAAATTTTATATTCCTAACGTTCTTTGGTGATGGATTTACTTCTCATACATTATGTGTACTTGAAGTCTTGTCTGTTATGGTTTTCTTCCGGGATTCAAGTCTTATAACTTAATTCAAATTATTTTTGCAGGTATACGCCAGTTCGGTCAGATTCAACAGTGGGAGAGCTAAAATTATCCGAGCCAACTGATATCATCCTCCCAGGTTTTTCTTGCTTTTGTCACTGCCGAATCTTTTCACTGTAGAACTTTATGTTCCATAAAATGAGTGCAAGGGCTCTGCTGTAGTCTAATCTGTTGAAACTTGGGCTGTGTTTTCTTTATTGTTAGATTGGTGCATGGTTTTTGAAACTTCCCCATGTAATACACTCCTTTGATTGTCATGCAGAGGTACCAAATGTAGACATGATTGCTCTCACCGGGAAGGCTGTGGAGGGTGATGTTCTCACTGCCGTTGAAGTGATTCCAGAGACTGGAATCCAACAACTTGTTTGGAGCAAGTATAAAAGAGATATCGAGTACCAATGGTACAATGCATCAGACTATGAACATCTGTCTTTGGTTAAACATTTGCTCGAGAATTGTTTTCTAAGTTTCCTGAAATATGAACATTCCATGTTCGTGATGTCCTTACATAAACATATTTAGACGTTTTTGGCTTTCTGTGCCTTCAAATCCAATCCGAGGACAGTTTCTGTGGGAGAAGAAGTTGCTTTCATTTGTGTTAGCTCCCTGAAAATTTTTTATAACCTTCCAAGAGAAGAACTCGTGGTGTTCAGAAATAATTCTCATTTTTTCAGAAATTGTTTATGTATTTTGATCTCACTTACACGGGCTGTTACAGGTTTCGCTCATCGGATTTGGGGGAAGAGGCTCTCTCTTCTGAACGCTCATGTTCTTATAAGGTGCGGTTTGAGGATATTGGCAGATGTCTCAAATGTGAATTTATAGTGCACGATGTGTTTGGGAGGTCAAGTGAGCCGGCTTATGCCGAGACTGCTTCTGTTTCGCCAGGTTTCTTTCCATTTCAGTCACTTTTGCATCTTGTCTTTACCTATATGCTTCAAGAAATGAAAGCATGATCAATTTCCGAGTTTCCTACACAAGGAAAGCATATGATATTTTGCGCATCATCAGGTCATCCAAGGATTGACAAGCTTGAGATTGAAGGGAGGGGTTTGCACACCAACTTATATGCTAAAGAGTAAAATTCAATGGCTTAGATCAATGGTTGGAAGCCCTGACCTTATCTCAATACCAGGTACTCAAGATTTGGTTCACATTTCTTCTTCAGTTTTGACTATAATTTCGCCAGATTTACGTGATGGTTCTTCTGGTAAAAATTATGTAATGAAGAGTAGCAGTTCGTCCATGCAAGAGTCCTAATTCCCCGGTTCCCCCTAAATGTTCTCAAATAGAACTAACTGAACTAATTTAACCAAAGATTGACTCAGCATGTTCCATTAATTCTGTAGGTGAGACAGGAAGGATGTATGAGGCTAATGTGGATGACGTCGGCTACAGACTGGTCGTTGTCTATACACCTGTGCGGGAGGATGGCACTGAAGGGCATCCAGTTTCTGCATCAACAGAGCCTGTTGCTGTTGGTCAGTTTTTCCTTTTATCATTACCATCGTCATAAGCACCATGATCATCATGCTTATGATATTGTTATAATTGTGTAAACTATAACCAGCAAACCTTCAATCCATACGATGGCTCTTTTCCAGCTCGGCTTTGAGGGGCTGTTTTTGTTTCTGCCAGGACAAAATTTATTTTCTCTTTCTTTCTTGTCCATTTGGTAACTCGTAGTAAGAATTAATTTGCAGAACCTGATATTCAAAAGGAAGTAAAGCAAAAGCTAGAACCTGGGTCAGTAAAGTTTGAGGTAGGATGGCTTCCTATTGTTTTTTGTTGATCTAATAGCATTTCATTTATCAAAGTTCTAAGCTTTACGTTCTTAGAGCCGTCTTTCAAGTTCGTTCTTTACGTGATATACGATTAAACAAACTTCCTTTCTTTCTTTTGTTGTGGCTTCGTCGATCATTGAAATCAGGTGCTCTGTGACAAGGACCCTTACCGAAAGAAGGTTAAGACTTAAACGTTTTCGGGTGTTATGAATAGGTTTGGAACTGTGTCGGGTTTCTTTCTAAAGGGTGAGATGCTGCTAATGGGTGTAGGTTCTGGGAGAGGGAAGTCTCGAGAGACGGATCCTCGAAGTTAACAGGAAGAGAATAAAGGTGGTGAAACCAGGTTCCAAGACATCTTTCCCAACTACAGAAGTTCGTGGCAGTTATTCTCCTCCTTTTCATGTACGTCTTTTTTTTCCTTTGCTTTTTCCTCGTTTTCAGACATACGAACAAAAACATGGGGTTTTTTTGGCTCTTAGATCCCATCTTAAGATCTGTCGTATTTCCATCCGGACAGGTCGAGACATTCCGGAATGACCAAAGACGGCTACGGATTGTTGTGGACGGCGAGAATGAAGTGGACGTGGTGGTCCATTCGCGCCACCTTCGCGACGTTATAGTGATGGTTATTAGGGGAATGGCTCAGAAATTCAACAGCACTTCCCTCAACTCGCTACTCAAAATTGATGCATAAGTTTATCCACATTGTCCGAATTCTCCAGTTCGTGGTTTTGTTTTCTGCATACACATTACCTTTTCTTGTTTTTCTTTGTTTTGTTTCATCGTTTAATATGTTTGTGAAGTGTAGACTCTATACGATTGGGAACCCATATATGTATGTATAATTTTAATATCACTTAGTGTTCGACTGGTTGTACCGCAACGGTTGCGGGTGACGGCGTTTTCAGAACGTTTGATAGCGATTATGAATGATAAGTACTGAATGGTTGATAAGTTGTTGTTGGCAGCGATTGCGGATAGGTACGGTTAGAAGTGAATGGTTTGTTGCGCTTATGTTTGCGTTTTGATACAAATTATTAAAAAAATATTATTTTAAAATAAATTTTTTATAATAATTTTAATTAAATTTTTAGTATCATATAGTAAAAATTATTTACTAAATTTATAATAATTAAATAATAAATTTAAAATATAAATATTATCAATTTAATTTATTTTTAAGTAAAAAAAAATATTATAAAAATTATTATACTTTCTTTTTTTCATATTGTCTATCACCTGGTAGAGTGGGCTAGGGGTGGACGTTTTGGTTTGGTTTTGAAGAACCGTACCGAATCAAAAATTTCAGTATTTTTTCTCAATTGTACGGTTCAAAATTTTCAAACGGTATGATTTTTATAGAATCGAATTCCTGTAATCAAATCTAACTTTATAAAATTTTCGAAAAATCGAATTTTTTTTTAAGAAAATCTATTTTTTTAATAAAAATTAAAACCGAACTGTATCGGAATCGAACCAAATAATACAATACTAATTTAGTACAAATTTTAAAACACCGAATAAACCGTTTTCGAAGCGAACCGCTAAAATACTGATACGAATCCCAAAACGCTTACCCTAGAATGGGCTATTTCGATTTTTGATTCTTTGGATTTTCGATTCTTTAGTTTGAGCTAAACTGTATTTATTTAGTTTTACACTGGATTCGATTCGAGTTATTACAGGTTGGTTTTTATTGGTACAAATATTTGTTGCTAAAAAAATTTGGTTTTTCCTTGTATTTTTATATTGATTCGGATTTGGTTATTCAGTTTTTAAAAAAAAATCGTAGCAAAATGGTTTCGATTCGAAGACTTTTGATACCCAAAGTCAAAAGCTCAACCCGAATATCTCTGGTTTCGATTCGAACGCCATTGTCATTTATGCGTCGCTCGGATACTCTAACTTCGGTCTCCTAAATAAAATACTCGGGTCTATCTGTACGACATTTTTTCCAAATTTTTCAAAATTATATTTCAGAAAAAGGCCCATGGGCTCCGATCCCCACGCGCCTAGAAATCCAAATTTAGAAAATACGGCCGAAACTCGTGGGTTTTAGGTCGGGAGATTTGGGACGGTGATGTCTACGCGCCGGTTGTGCGAGTACGATTTGTAACGCCATGCCTCAAACGGAGCTTATTTATCGACGGCTCATTGGTTCGTTATGGGCTCAGTATTGGGCTACGTCGATCTGAACTTTAACGATGAAAAATAATAGCAAAAGTATTAAAAATATTTATATATATTTTTTTATTAAAAATATTTATATATATTTTTTTTATTAAAAATATTTATATTCATCACTATAATTTTGAAAAACAAATATTTAGAAAATGTCTGAACCATTATCCGTCGGTACATAACTATTTTGTTGAGTCTTTTTTTTTTTTTTTTTTTGCAAATATCAGTTTATCCATCACTGTAATTTGGATTAGTTATTTAAGCAATTTTAATAATTATCACAGCTATATAGGTAATTAATTATTAATGTAGTGCTAATTGTGATGATATCATACAAAAAAACACAAATGTAACTTTTTTCATATAAGCCTAGAAAAAAATAACAAAACAAAATTAGAAAAAGCTACTCGCAAAAATTATTTTGAAATGTCAACTTTTTCATGTAAAGTTAAAGACACAAATGCCACTTTTTCACAGTTCTGCTAATCACTAACACGAAATCGCTGAACCGAACCGGGTCACGCATCAATCCGGTCTTGACCGGTTCAACCGGTTATAGTAGAAACACAATGATATAAAAAGAACCGAACCGAGTTAGATAAATTTTACATTTCGAAGTACCATTTCCATGGAAGTACATACATAACATGGTTAGGAGACAAGATCAAAGTTCGTGTAAAAAAACGTGCAAACAATCCGAGAATCCAACGCGACATCACTCTGCACACAATCTGGACGACAATGAAGGAGGGTTCTGTCCGAATCCGATACCGTGAAAATGACGATTCTACCCTTCCGTGTGGAGGCTCGGGACTTTCTTCTGCTTTCCCCGGCGGTCCTTGACGTCCTTCAGCTTCTCCAGCTTCACATTGTCATTCGGTTTAGAGACCGAGCCTTCCTGAGCACTGCACATCTGGTGAGACTTCAGCTTCAGACCGAACTCGCCTTTTAGGCAAAAGGCGTGAGAGACTCTATGCCCATCGGATTTCACGATCAACATTCTTTTTTTTTAATAATTATATAATAATTACTCTCGCCACGTGGCATGTGAATATACATTGTACAAAAAACTCTTTCTCGAGCTCCGAGACCCGCACCCTCATGTTGTCCATTCCCACCTTCAGCACCTGGTTCTCTCTCACCGCTGTGGCCCACCCTCCTCCTTCGCCTGATCCTCCAGCTATTCCTCCGCTTAACTGTCTTGACCCGCCGTCGAGGTTGTCTGAAACCAGGAAGCAGCCTGCTATCGAGGTTCTGAGCTGAAGCTGCTCGAAGAAGAGGACTTGCACGATTATTCTGAGAGGCAGTCTCTCATTCTGTGCTGCGTGTGTGCACGCTTCTAGAGATAGCTTCTGACAATCTATTAACCGGCATAGATTCTCCCTTTCCGACTCCGCTAACCAGGGGTGATGCTGCGATTTAGCGAAAAGGCAAAAAAAACAACTTAAAGAAGAATCTCGTCGAGAGCCATAATTATAGACTGAAAGGGTAATTTCTAAGATGAGAAAGGTTAACTATGCCTCGAGAAGCTCGTTGACAGTAGGAGAGGAAGTGTTGGGTTTAGGGTACCTTCAGGTAAATGTCTATCGCTCGGTAAAGTCCATCGTCTAAGAGCCTGGCGTACTCGGGAACAGCGGCGGCAAGAGCCCGGAACTTTGGAAGCTTCAGATTAACATCAGGAGCAACTTCAGCGAGAAACCCGTCAATCAACTTTGCGACTGTCGTGATAGGAGCCAAGGATTGCGGGGATCCGATCAATTGCCTGTCATCGACCGAAGAACACGGGGAGTCGCCCGCCCCACCGACAGTAATCTGATCCGTGGCGAGAAAGTGCTCGAAAATCCTCTGCACACAGTCAACATCGTACAATGTCTCGGTAGAGTCGGAGAAACTGGGCATTACAAGATCTTCCAATGCTGCCTGATCAAGCTGAATCCCTATCCTCTTCTCCAATTTCGATATGCAACTCGAACTAGCCTTCAGAATCTTGGCGGTTCGGAGAGAATCGAAGAGAAACTTCGTTGGAGCAAGACCTTTCTCCAGAGGAAGCAATTCTTGGATCTCTTCCAGCAAACGCTTCTGCTCTTCCTCGGAAAGTACATTCCCCGAGCCAAAGGGTGTGCTGAAACGGCCGCTAGATTCATTTCCACCCCGTCGCCTCTTTATCCCGGGTAAGTACTTTCTAGCATAGTAGACAAGAGAACCTGCAATAATGTCTTGTCTGATACAACGAGATTCCATCGTTTCTAACACCCGTTTAAAAATTGGGAAGCTAAGCATGGATGCATCCTCATACCACCAGTCCGAACTAGAATGCTTAGGTCTAGCACCGGTGCTTATCCCGTTCCACAGAACACTACCACCGGGGCTCTGCATCGGGCCCCCATGCTCAACGACGGGCCATCCAAACAAATTCGGATCGGTCGATGCCTTCATGGACAGCGACTCGATGCATCTTTTCGTAATGTTCAACTCATCAGCGTCCTCGAGGACCTCGTCGCAGCTTTGAAGCGCTTTTATAGAATCTTTCCAACTCTTGAGGACTTTATGATTGAGAAATGTTTCGGTTTGCGAAATAAGATTCGATTCTCCATACTCTTCCGTCATTTCGAGACGTTCGGCGGCACATCTGAGGTAGACAACATTAGAGGCAGTGAGTTCGAGTTTCACACCATAACAGAACTTGGCGACGAGTTCGAACGTTTTGTTCCCGCCAGGGAGATCGGAAATCTGAATGAAGCATTTCTCATCCCCTTCCTTAGATGCTTCAGCGATCATCCGTTCCATGACTCCACTTCGAGAGAGCAAGGGAAACTGAAAATAGCAAAAAGCTGTAAGATACGAGTTCCTTCTCAAAAGGGTCAGCGCTAGTAAACCGATTCGTAAGTTCAGTGAGCAAATTCATCACAGGAATCACGAAAATTCTAAACACTGAACAATTTCCCGTAGAAACCACATGAACAACGCCCAAAATACCATTTTGATCCAATTGATGACACTTGGAGATATTAGATTCGGACACAAAGTCAGGAACTTTAAAGAACATCAGCGTTGACCTTGTGTCTGGACAAGATTCAAACAGAATGTAGATCAAAGAAAATCCAAAAGAATGCAGCTTTGATACATAGCAGATACATATTTCTACAATGGCTTAACATTCAAACATCACTGTAACCTACGAAAATTTCAGACATATGACAGGTAGTTTCAAAAAACTGATTTCACTGCTAAAACATAAAACTGCTCTGCAAGCTTGCAGAAAGCGAAGAATTTGTCAAAATTTACCTTGTGGAGATGGAAGGACATCTCCCCAACTTCAACAACGATATCACTTGGAAGCCCAGTTGTGCAAAACCTGTAATTAGCAAAGGAGAAAAACAAAATCAGACGAGTTCATGAACTTTGACTCAGTGAGTCAGTGGTAATGGTATCATCTCCAGGACCAAGGTCTCAAACTTCTGACTCAGTCTAAGCAATTAGATTAAGAGAAAGACCAAAAAAAAAGAGATCAAAGGCATATATGTTATACCAGGCTTGGCCTTGTCTTTGAAAAGCATCAGACTTGGATCCCAATTTCGTACAAGCCATATTGCCCTCAACCAAATCCTCCTAAACCCTCACCGGAAACAAACCCTAGAATCCAGCCCCAAATCCACCAGGACCAAAAGACTTCTAATTTCTCGGAAATCACGAGACTTTGATCAGAAAAACTATCATGGATTAGCGTTTTCCATGCCCTAATACAAAGATCACACAAATTTCAGATCTGTAGTAATTAACTAAAATGACAGATTCCTCTCGGACATTTTGACGAACACTTGAACTGCACACCTTCCCTTCTCCACGCCTAGCAACAGACGCATCGCAGATTAGACGGAACCCTAAAAACTTGGCAGAAAACTAACCAAACCCACTAATAATCTCCTCAATGTGGAAGGAAGGAAACCTAGAACTTCAAAGCTAAAACCCAGAAATCTTATCTACACCACCAAATTCGAAACTTTATTGAGGCAAAATAATAAAAACAAAAAGAAATAACCAAAACCCGAAAACCCAGCTACCGAAGAACAGCTAAGCAAAGATTCCCAGCAAACACTCGAGCGTTTTATAACGGGACCATGAAGAGGGGGAAAAAAAGTAAAATCGAAAAAAAAAACTACCACCATTACAGAGAAAGGCAATAAATTTAGTGATTTCTGTATTGGTCACTTTTGAATTTATTATTATTATTATTTACAAAAAAAAAAAAAGAAGCAGATGGACTTGAAAAATCTCGATATGGGAGCTAATTAATGAGTGAGGTCTGAAGAAAAAACACATGCACGCATGTGGGTCCCCGTATATCTTCAAACGCACTCATAGTGTTGTTCTTGAAATCTGCCAACTTTAATCTTTGAGAAACGTTAACATTAATCTTCCGGATTAATGTGGGGGGTAAACCCTAATCTTTACTCAAAGCCCCCCATTAATTTCCGCCTTAAGTAATGATTTGATTATGCTTTTTTTGTTTAATCTCTTGCTGATTATGAACAATTAGTAAATAATCACTTTCTGATATAACTAGGCACCCCAATTGGAACCTTATATATGAGGTGATTATACTACTCATTTTTCGGTTCTTTAATTTCGGATATTGAATATTTGAATATTCAAATTTATCTTTTTTAAATATATTTAGATATCCGCAAGTAATGGGTGTTCCATCAAAATTATTTCAATTTCATCAAAAATTCATGTGATCTATTTTAACTTCCAATTTCAACAACCGTCGAATTATATAACCAAATCCAAAAATTCCGATCACATGTTGCATCGTTTTTTTTTTCAAAAAAAAAACAAGAAATAATCAGTAAACGAGGAATGGTAATCTGTCCGCATTATAAAACCGGTGGTTGAAGCTTCGGTCTCCAACATGGTTCTGAATTCAATGCTGATGTGGCAATGTCCATGTACCGCCACGTGGCTTGTTTTGTGTTTTTAGCTCGAGAGCTGACTCGGGCTGTCACGGGGGAAGTGAACAAAACTGAACTCGTGGCTTCCGTCAGGACAAGATAGAGTTGACAAAATAATTAGGCATTATTCTCCGTTTTTGTCCTTGTTCTAACTAAAATCCAAAACAACCCCAATAATGATGGAACACATATATATATACATATATACATATATATATATATAGAGAGAAAGTCATGATCATGTTTATCAAGTTGATTTTATAAATTAAGAGATGTTAATACGTCGCGAGAAGAAGAAAAACTTTATTTATCAAAAAAAAGGAAGAAAAACTTCTTTTTTTTGGACGTTCGAGTGTCTTATAATAAAATGTGATTTTATTTAGATCGGATTATGTAAAGGTGGGTTCATAAATAAAATAAAACCATGACAATGTAATATGAGAAATATTATTATGCCCAGTTTGCTGTATAAATTCGATTACTCTATGGTATGCCGTCGACGTCGGTCTAACGTTACGAAGGACGAGTTTTTTATATATGAATATGACTATATATATATATGTGTGTGTGTGTGTGTATAGGCAAAGTATCTATATTACATATTATATATATATATATATATATATATATATATATGTATGTATGTAGATGCGCATGCACTGTAGGTTCAATAATTCGGACGTGAACTGACGAAGTTGTTTTTTCGTCTTCGGATTCTTGAATTCGTCACACCAAAAGCTCCTTTGCTTTTTTACATGCGTTTTTTTTTATGTCCGCCTTTTTTTTTTCACTCCTCATCACACACACACACACGCGCAACGTGACGTGATTTTTTTTTTTTTTAAAAAAAAGGGGGGCAAAAAAAGATGGGAGTGATGCAAAAAAAAAAAGAGAAAATAATAAAATAAAATAAAAACGGTCCAATTTAGCTCGAATCACGACTCGGTTTGATAAATTTTATTTAGTACAAACCGAAGCAAAATTCCAGATATATACATCCAAACCCAAAATTTCCTTTGCAAAAAAAAAAGAAAAAAAAAACTCTCCTATTTTGTTAGGAATATTGTAAATAAGAGAAATGCATTGTATATATTAGACACTCAAATTTGGTTACCAAATTATTAAATCTAAACTATATATAATAATAATAATAATAAATCTATTTGAAATAGACCTTTCTAAAGGTTATATGGCGGTTCATTACAGAGAGTATATGTGTTTTGGAAAGACACAACCTTGGTTACGTCTGTTACGTGACACTACAATATGCTTCTATAAATTGAAGGATTCAAATGGGTCGAACACACAAAAAAACTCAAATTTTTTTTTTAATAAACATTTGGATTATGATTTTGTATATTAATATATAAATACAAATTACTCTAATCAAAGAGTAAAAAAAAAAGAATTAAAGAAGGAAGATGTAATTAAAAGGAATAACAAGAGGAGCCAGGTGCGTTTTCAATTGCTTTTAGGTTGATGAAGAAAGCTCATTTGGAAAATGACATAACACGACATGTGCCATTAGTGCTTGTCGAGAATTTTGCTCGCCTTTTAGGCAAAAGGCGTGAGAGACTCTATGCCCATCGGATTTCACGATCAACATTCTTTTTTTTTAATAATTATATAATAATTACTCTCGCCACGTGGCATGTGAATATACATTGTACAAAAAATTAAAAATATTCCGTCGCCGGGACTCGAACCCGGGTCTCTCGGGTGAGAGCCGAGTATCCTAACCATCTAGACTACGACGGATGCATGTTGTTGATATTTTCGCTATAGAATTTTTACTATTCAAACAACATCATCGTCGCCAAGGAACCTCTTCTTTCATCTTTTCTCGGCTCCAAGTTCCGTGTTTCGTTCTCTCCTCCGCCCCCTGGAGACTAAGCTTCGAAGGTACTGAGAATTCGCTGGTCCGGTGCTTTGAACCATCCGAGAGAATGCACTTGCATCTCTCGACAGCAGTTCTCGGGGACTATCGTATTCCGAAACCTGAAAGCAGAAGAATGATCCGCTCGGTTAGCGACACAGGATCCTCGGGAATACGCACAAGGACAACATCGAATGTTTTTGTCGGAAGAACAAAAGGGAGCTAGCAACTAAGCGTCGCACCTGACCAGAGTCAAGCACGAGGATTCTGTCGCAGTCGATGATTGTATTCAACCTGTGAGCGATGACGAGCATCGTGCAAGACTTGAACTCTTCCCGAATCGTGCTCTGTATCAGAGCGTCTGTTCTAACGTCGACAGAAGCGGTTGCTTCGTCGAGGGCGAGGATCTTAGATCTTCTCAGCAGAGCACGGGCTAGACTCAATAGCTGCCTCTGCCCGACGCTGAAATTCTCCCCTCCCTCGGACACCTTCACAGGGTCACAAATTTAGTAAACAATCTTTAGACATAACGGTTAATATTACATATTACTATACCTCAGCGTCGAGGCCAAAAGGATTCCTGGCAATGGCCTCTTTTACATGCGCCCTTTGTAGAGCCTCCCACAGGACAGCATCGTTATGCTCGCTGAACGGATCGAGGTTGAACCTCACGGTCCCTAACGAGAAGAAAATCTTTTTGTCAGAATGACGTAACATACTTGGCAAATGTTGTCTCATATCAGAAGCGTCACAAGGTAATCAAGATGATAAACATCGATACAATACCCGAGAAGAGAACCGGAGATTGCGGTATGATGCTTAGCACCGTGCGGAGATCCGTCAGTCCGAACTTGGCCACGTCGTAATCATCGATCAGAATTCTTCCCTTCTCCAATTCCGTAAGCCGAAACAAGGCATTCAGCATGGAAGATTTCCCCGCACCAGTTCTTCCCACCACTCCTACTTTCTGGCTTGGCGAAACCAGAAAGGACAGCCCTTGCAGAACAGGAGGAAGCCCTGGCCGGTAACGAAGGTGAACATCTTCAAACTCTACTGATCCTCTCGAAGGCCAATCGGGTTTTGGACGATTGTTCTCGACTATATCCGCAGCCTCGGAAGGAAGATCAATGTAGTTACCGACACGTTCAACTGAGTTCAAACTGTTTTCTGCCCTGCTTGCCTGCCTTAGAACACCACTCAACAGAGTTGTAATGTTCAGAGTGTAACTAAGGAGCAGACCCATTGTAGATGCGAATTCAGCCTGCCTTTCCGCTTTCCCGTTCCGAAGAACGGCAAATGTCGCAGTTATCCAAATCATGATGCCTCCGAGAGTTTCCAACCGTATAGTGAGCCAACGGTTCGAGCTAGTATTCGCAAGAGTGAACCTTATGTTATTGTCCATGGATTTACCATTGACCTTTGCCATACGATCATATGCTTTATAAGCCCGGATTGTTGATAAACCGTTCAAAGCTTCTCCGAATTGAGCATAGACAGGTGACCTAGTAATGGAATCCAAGCGTTTCACTTCACGGGACGTACTCTGTAACCACGATAAAACGATAAACTCGATTTAAGAAAGATTATGCAGTGTAATATACAATCTTGCATATATGAAATGCAGAAAGAAATGAAGAGAGGAAGATCTTACCTGATAATAGAGATAGGCTGCATAAAACAGGATTAGAAGTGGCATTATAGCCCACAGCGAAATTGTACTGACAGTACCTATAAGTGCAAATGTAGAAAGGAGCTGCCATAGCTGGTTCATGAACATGTTCATTAAGTTGGCGACATTCCGATCGATATCACCAATATCCTTTGAAAACCTGTTAATTACTCGTCCAGTCGGGTTTGTGTGGAAAAAGAGCATAGGAGCTCTCAAGATAGAATTCAGCATTGCATCATGGAGTCTTTTGGCGGCACGTAGGCTCGATGTGATGAGGCAAAACGAGTTGATGAATGTGACAGTTACCTACATCATCCGTAAATATAGGTTAAGCACGCGTTAATAGTGAGATTTAAGCTGTCATTAATGAGAAACTCACCTGACCAAATCCCAGAAGAGCATATATGACAATGTAGAATCCCGGGGTATAAGTCTTTGAAGTGCTTTGATCTGTCCAAAAACTTAGCCATGTGCTACTCGAAACTCGGAGAACTTCCGTCGTTAAATAGCATGAAAAGAGAACCATAACCACCCATAAGCCTCCTAATGCTTTCTTATACCTAAACCAGTAGCAATTTATCCGAGACATCAGTTTTCATCAAAACAAACAGAGAGATATTCGGCTACGATGCAGAAATTTGTGAAACAAGTCGACATTTGCAATGAAATCAGATAAATCCGTACTATTGTTTTCTCATACCCATATTATTGTTTCAGAAAAATAAATAAATTGAACGTATGAAAGTTTTTCGATTCTAGATAAAGATGATGGATTTTGAGCTAAGTACCTCATCAGAACGTTCCAACTAACGATGCCGGTTTCCCGTTCTTCTTGCTTTACAAGCACGGATTTTTCCCCTTTCCCTTGCTTGCTATTTCCCCGTTCTCTTTGAATATCAATCATGACATTAGCATCTGGCTTCAAGCATTTTTTGTCGTTGTTATTGTTTTGTTCCTCTTCTATAATCGGTTCCCGGGTCACATCCATTTTCCCGGCATTCTCCATCAGTTTCTGGAACAAACTCCCATTTCTTGACAGCTCCTCAAAGGTTCCCTCCTCCTTAATCATTCCTTCACTCACCAAAAATATTCTATCCATTGATGGAAGGAAATGCAGCTGATTTGTGACAAGTACCCTTGTTTTCGCTTTCAGCTCATCCTTTATGCAGCTATCAAAGACCTGTAGAATTGACTCAGACAAGACAGTTAGATGCCATCTTAAAGATCCAAGACATTAAACCTCAAGTCACAGACTTAACAAGCACTCTGTTATGTAAGAAAATCGATGGCAATAATCTGTACCTGCTGAGCAACGTGAGCATCTAGAGCACTCAAAGGGTCATCAAATATGTATACATCTGAATCGGAGTAGACTGCCCTAGCCATTGAGACTCTCTGTTTCTGCCCTCCACTAATATTCACCCCACGTTCTCCGATTTCCGTAAGATCACGGCCCTGAAGAAGCATACCCGAGGAAGTTACTAAGAGATATGATACCGAGTTAGTGTAAATGGGTTCCATAATAAGTCTGTTGTTCCACTTAACTGGAAGCACATCAAGATCGTGCGGCAAAGCAGTCACATCGATTGTCCTCCAATATCTTTCCGATTCAAATTCTGATCCAAATAATATGTTTTCACGCACCTGAAAACGTTCCCACATGACTTGTAACTAAGGGGAACCAAAACAAAATAAAGCTACCGAAAACTGAAACCTACAACACATTTCGTTTATAACTTCCAAAGAGAAGTATATGTAATGTACTCACAGTAGCATTGAAGATCCATGGAACTTGAGGAACATAAGCTACAGTGCCTCTTATGACAACACTCGAAGTTTCCACGTGAGGCAGCTCCCCTAGCATTGCTGAAACAAGTGAAGTCTTCCCTTCTCCGGTCTCTCCTACAATGGCAACCAAGCTTCCAACTGGAATGTCCAAATTGATATTGGTTAATGTGGGCTTGTTTGCCTGGAAAAGATTAGAAAGTTATATTTGTGGTGAATAGTCCAAGATCATGCAGACATAATCTTAAACAAGAATGGAAAATACTGATATTTACCTTTGGATCCCAAGAAAAAACCCCATTCTTAATCGAGATGGCCGAAGCTTCCGGCTGAAGAGGTGGATTAGGTGCTAGGATTCTCTCTTCACTCAGAAGCAGTTCTTCAATGCGTTGTAGTGATACATTTGCATTGACAACCTAAAAGGAAAAGTAACAAAAGATAAGAAACCTACACAAAAACGGCCTACATAATTTAGTTCATCGATATGTCTGAAAATTTGCAGGTGTTTACTGACCACTACGTCATTATGTAACAAAACATATAACAGGGGAATATAAAAATGAATGAGGATGGTGTTTTTGTTTTGTAAAAACCTGACTCAGGAGATTTGGTAGCATGTTGAGAGGGAATCTAAGAACTGCAAAGAGAGACAGCGATGTGAATGCCCTCGCTGGTGTCAAATCTCCTCCAAGAAGAACAAAAATCCCAAAAGAAACCACAGTCACAACAACCGGGATGCTGTTCAGTAGAAAACTGTTGAACTGCAAGAGGAAAGCAATAGAAGACAAATATCATATGAGAGACAACGATCTTGGTTTTTCATTTACAAGAGTTCTTATAACCAACAAGGGTAATCTTGGTTTTGCATACATTAAAAGGAAAATCCTGCTAAATATACGTTGTAAAGATAATAACGTTTTCGCCATCAAACGAAAGTGAAGATCATATATAATGATAAAGAGACATACAGCTGATAATAATTGTGCTTTACGAAACCATGAGAGCTCTTCGTTCCTTATTCCTTGAATTCGGGATTCAAAGCTCTTCTCCCACGCATAACATCTGGTAAGAAAAAGAAGAATCCAAGAAAATAACCATTTTGAAGATATAATATACAGAAACATTAAAAAGGAGAGATGTGGAATCTTTCAATCATACTTCACGGTATCCATGGTTGCCAAAATTTCACTAATGATACCGACTCTTTTGTCGGTCCACTGGAGTCCTTCTTTAGTCAGTTTGCGCATTTTGCTTATAATCATCGTCTGTTAAAATCAGGAAATAAAATACGGAGAATTGTTTGTGAATAAATGAAACTTTTACATGCTTTTAGGATTAACATGGGCATAAAAGAACGGTAATAATGCCAAGTACCTGGGCAGGAATCAGGAGAAATAGAATCAGTGAACCGAAAAGTGAAGCAACTCCTAGCTGCTGATAGAGAAGAATCATAGACATTGTGATACGGAATGGAGCTGACCATAACCCATGAAGCTGTTGGGATATTTGCTGAACAAATCCAGAAACTATATTAGCCGTTCTGATATGACTCTGTAGCTATGCAAAAGTAAAGTGCAGAAGCTACTAGAGTCTAGTACCTGAAGAGCATTAGCATCAGTAGTTATCATATTTGTGATCTTCCCAGATGGAAAATTCTTGCGAGCTTCATGAGTTAGCCTTAAAGATTTGCGGAAGATAGCTGCAACCTACAAGAAAATCGGCATTTCATTAGCTGAAGACTGAAAATGCCTAAATGCGCTTGAGTTTGAACGAGGCAATAAGAATTCCCGGATTTACCAAAGTTGACCTCAACCGGAATCCCACACGCCAAACATTCTGAAAGTATTGGGCTTCACAGAGAACTCCAAGTGTCTGAAACAGATAAAGAATGGAGTCGTAAATGAAGAAATAGCTTCTTCTTCGAGAGTGTCCTCTCTCTTAGAACACAAGCCACTATGTGAAATATAAATTCCGAAGAGGAAGGAAGGATACATATTAACATCTAAATAAGTGAAGAAAACCGATCTCAGGTATTTGGTAAGATTTTGCAGATGAACCAACAGTGTTAAATCAAAGGGATCAGCCACACATATACATACCACTCCAACGAAAATTAAGAACGCATAGCCATAACCAACCCAAGCTGGATCACCCTCTTGCATTGACTGCATAACATGGCAGAAGATTGAGTGAAGTTAGATATAGCAGTAGTCCAAAGTACCATGAAACAAGTGTTCATATGTAAGATCAGAGAGAACTATGATATAGTTTCTAGAAGACACTTCTGTCTGAGGAAAAATATGTGTTGCTGGGATCTGAATGCACATGAAAATAAAGCTATACAGTCTGAGAGTTCAAAGACAAAAAAAAAGAAGAAGAAGAAGAAGAAGAAGAGCCAGACACCACAGTAAAAAAGAGAGAAGTGTATGCATTCTCTATTAAAGCTTCAGCACAAAGGATGCTTACCCGCAACAGATGGTTCAATAGAACCGGACCCACGAATTGAGAGAGATCATTTCCAATCTACAACAAGCTCAAACATGATGTATAAGCTTTTCGTAAGTTTCCAAACATGATACCAAACATTTTCCTGGATACAGTTTAGATATGATGCCCTGAGAAGTATACTTCAAAAGTTTCTTCGGGATCAACAAGACTATAACAGCCTGATACCAAAGAGTTGGCGTAAAAAGCTTTACTTTTGAAGAATACATCATGATCATATAAATATTCAGTAAACACTCCAGAACGAAGACAATAGGATCTTTACCTTAAAAAGACCACCCAACCAAAACCTGCAAAAGAAGTAGACAGAGAAGTTAATGGCAATATCCATAATCAACATTGTCATGATTTGTGAAATTCCATGGACCGTTACCTCCGACCAAGACAATTATTCAGTGCTCTAAGAAGCCATGGTTTAGGCTTTTGTGATTCTTCACTCCAGCATCTTTGGAATCTACAAAGGAATGGTGATACATAAGATTTTTTTGCTGTTATTGTTGTTGTTGTCCCATAAGATCTTCTACCAAAAGAAAGACCTTTTAAGAGATAGAGCAGAAGGCAGAAGCAGCAACGAATATTGCACCTTTCGATCAGATTTTCAGTTCGGTCCCATGTGTCTAATTGCCAAACATCCTTCTCAGTTATGGGCTTTTTGTATCCTTGCTGCATAAGCGGCGTGATCCAACCAAAGTATATTCCTGACAGACAAGAAATCCGAATCATAAAGAATGAAAAAATCCATAAAGCTAGCTATGTCATTGTCCTGGCTAGTGAATGTTTGCTATACATGCATCTTGTATATATTAGAGCACTTAACGGCAATTTCAGGAGCTACCTACTGGAAAATATTCCGGCATTTCGCTCTGGACAGACTTGCTCTCCCTCCTTAAGTGCTTCATACTCAACACCGTCTACAGGTTCGTCATTTAGAAAGTGATAATCTGGATACGGGTCCAAATTCGGGATGTAGATAAGAAGGAGAATCCCGAAAAGAGCCTGCAACAGAAGACACATGAGGACATAACTGATAGCAGCTTCATCTAGTTTTTTGTTTCTCTTTCTTCTGATATCTCTACAACCAACAGCTTCCTAAGACAACTAACTATTCCTATTTTAGTTTAAACCTGTCGATGTGAGAGCAATGTTCCACTAGAGCATTGTTTCTTTGCTTATTTGTCTTTTCAACCAAATGCACCAACGGAAATGGAAAAGATATATTTTCAAACCTGGCAGCAAACTGAACTGATACAGAAGTACAGGGCAGTTCTGCAAGAACAAATATAGGAGAAGTGAAATTGTCAAGTATAGCTCCGAAAAGTGATCACGGAAATGAAAACTATCATACTAACAAAATGCATAAACTACGAAAACGATTGCTTGAAACTCGATCGTGGAATTACCAATTTCGTCTCCCAAACTAACCTATTGCAATAATCCATGAGAGGTAACACAAGATCCAGCAATACAGCGTCAGCTACGAGAGCGTAAACAACACCAAACCTTACATACCACCGAAATTCCTTGACGTATCGTTTGGTTTCCAGTCCGATCAAAGCAAGCATGGAGAACCAAGCGAAAGCCTCAACAATCAACGATGCCCTCTGCCCACAAAACCAAGCACTGAATCAACATTTCTTTCTTTTCGACGAGCAGGATGTTTGTGATATGCCCAAATGGAAAACTCACGGATTATTCGAACTTACCTCAAAGGGAGGAACATCAATCACTTCATCATCCATGGCAAAGAGGGAAACCCCCATCACCAATCTTAGTACCGGCTCAATAGCACAGTAACAGGCAAGGAACCCTAACAAAGAGTTGTAATGCTTCTTCTTCAAGACATACATCTGAGCTTTGGTATTGTGATGGATGAGCCAAAACCGGTACAGACACAGACACAGAAGTACGAAGTGAGAAACAAGCATCACTAGCGAGTCAATGGCGCAAGGTGTATAGGAACCAAAGACTCCGTTCGCAGCTTTTGCCCAGATTCCATTTGCAGTTGGGTGGCAATACCAAGCCAAAGGCTCAAACCCCATCTTCCTTGATCAAACCCTGAAGCTCAAAATCTGCATCGATCAAAACCCACATTTGGTTCAAAAATCCATTCAAACATCGAAGATTTCAGGGTACAAAAGCGTCAATCCAAGCCCCCAATCTAAAACCCTAGTCCCACTATCTTCATCGCCTTCTTCTCCGCCGAAATGGGCAAGAAGAAGAGAAACAGCTTTATGTTTTAGACATAACACTGTAGAAAATTATCAGAATCAGACAGCAAAACACCCAAAATGACAGGGAAAAAAACATATAAAAAAGACAAAATTTCGCGACATGAGCTCTTACTAGTTGATGTTACGATTCGGTAATGACCCAGAATTAGGAGGGTTTTACGAGAATTATCGTAAAGTTTATAGATTACATGGCGAGGCAAAGATGATACTACAGCAAAAATGAGATAAAAATTGGACGGACAAACTGCCAAAAGACAACATCAGAGCAAATGGTTCAGACAAAGTGACGAGCTTTACCGTTCGGCTTCTTGATCTTGAGAGGTTCTTGAAGAGAAGACCCAAATTTGGAAGGTTTACGAGATTAATTATATTAATGCATGCGACGTGTATGTACGTATATATACACACAAATACAAGAAGAAGACAAGCAACAAGCCAACAAGAGTCAAACTATCATTGTTTCATTCTGCAATCATCCAGAGATTAGAGATTCCCATGGATATGGGTTGGCCGACATACACAATCACATATTCACATATACATATATACACACACGTGTGTGCGTGCGTATACAGAAATTATGGATAATTTATATATTAAAGATCCAATCTTTATTTTTCTTCCTTCAACATGATTACTGTAGTTTCTGAGTTGGACAGTAAATCGGCAGAATTCAAAAATCATAACTAAAAAATTCTCTGTTTTTTTTTTTAAGAAAAAAAGTAGAACATGAACTCTTTGGTGTTGAAGTGACGAGAAAGAACAAAAGATCGTTTGTCATTTGGACCACGTGAAGTCGCAAGAGACTCGGAGGTTTCTGCTCTGCCAGCGTCATGGCTTACGTGAAACTCTCTGGAATTTCGACTTTGCTCTTTCATCTATACATACATACATACATATATATATATACACGAATATGGAGGCCATGCATACATTCATGCATTATGTTTTCTGCAATTAAATACCTCGAGCAATTGAATCCATTTTCTGAATTACCTCGTACATCACTCTCTCTCTGGTTACGTGTTAAACAAGCAAAACAATCAAATGACATTTCCATCTTCCGTGGATCACAAGGAAATCAGAATTCAGTCTCGCCATCAAAATGGGTCTCGAGGTTAACAGAGGCGGAGACCTAACTTTGGTCTACATTTCGACATTATCCCAATCAAAAGATTTGGCACCGAAGTTGTAATCAGGGTGCTGCATTCTGTTCCTCCCCAGTCTGCTCATCACCGCCAGCCCTGCCACCCAGATTCAACCCACATACACTCAGATCAAGATTCAAGATTCCGCAAACAAGATCAAAGGATTCCAAAACAGAATAAGAAAAAACCGATTTTTACGAGTTTCGGGTTCATCGTTTCAGCAGAGGACTTCGAGACTTTTTCCAGACATCAGACAAAGATATGGAAAATTTGCAGGTAAGCCTTTTGGGGTGGATTCTTCGGGTTTCGGTTATTTCGATTTTAAAAATACTATAATCGTTTGGTTTTTATATTGAATACGGTTTAGGTTTGGGTTCGGGTTCGGTTACAATAAAAGTAATCGTTTTTTTAAGAAAATTACGGTTTTTCAGATATTTTTTATTCGGTTCGATTTGGGTTCGGTTTTAGAGAAATTGTAACCATTTCGGTTTATATCGAATTTGGTTCGGATATTATTCGGTTCGGATTTGTTCGGATATTCAGTTATTAACGAAATAACCAATTTGGTTAGGCGGAGTTTACCTTCGACCATTTTGTAGAGGGACGACCACCAGCCCTCCCTCAAGATTTCGCGTTCAACGAGCGATTCCTCGATCTCTCTGTCGTGTTTCCCTTCCAAAACGCTGCGTAGAGTTACAACGGCATCCTTCGTTCTCTTCAGGATACTGCTCTCGTCTTCAATCTCCAGTCGTTGAAGATCGTTATGCGACGAAGTCAGGCTCACAGCCAACGCAAACTGAGCGGCCGCAGCCCAGCGAGAAGACGCCATCCATCTCCTCTGTCCCTCCATCTGTCTCGGGCCGTCGTCATCGTCCCCTCGGGGTCGCCTGTTTTCGAGCACCAAACCACGCAAGTACTCTGCATTTGCGGCTCCTGTACTCTGAACCATCTTCGAGAAAGCGCTGTCTTCTCTCGAGAGAAGTTCTTCGGGCGAACTGAATTCTTGAACCTGAATTGATTTAGACAAACGAATCAGCCGAGAAGGAATCAAAACCGGAGAGGAAAAAGAGGATCTACGTACTCTGCCAGAGTCGAGGACAAGGATTTTGTCGCAGTCGATGATGGTATTAAGGCGGTGAGCGATGATTAGCATCGTGCATGACTTGAATTCTTCTCGGATTGTCTTCTGAATGAGAGCGTCGGTTCTAACATCGACGGCTGCAGTCGCTTCGTCGAGTACAAGTATCTTAGATCGCCGCAATAGCGCACGCGAAAGACTCAATAACTGCCTCTGCCCGACGCTGAAATTCTCTCCCGCCTCCGACACCTACCCGAAAAGGGCAAAATGAAAACAGATTACTAACAATTGGAGAGAATGGGAATACTTTTGATTCCGAGACATGAAAGCATCTAAGTACCTCGGCATCGAGACCGAGAGGATTCCTGCGGATAGTATCCTTCAGGTGAGCCCTCTCCAGAGCTTCCCAGAGATCAGCATCGTTGTGTTCGTTAAACGGGTCGAGGTTAAATCTCACAGATCCTATATGAAAAATAGCATGTCGGATATTAACATAACATTCATTATCATCGGAGCTGTAAGATCGAGGGAAGAGAGCGAGTGACAGGAATCATCGTGAATCTAAGATATACCTGAGAAAAGAACCGGCGATTGTGGAATGATTCCGAGTACTTTACGCAGATCCATGAGTCCGAACTTGGCGATATCGCATTCATCGATCAAGATCCTTCCTTTTTCCAGCTCCACAATTCGGAACAACGCGTTCAGTAGACTCGATTTCCCGGCCCCAGTCCTTCCAACGATTCCAACCTTATCCGTAGGTGGAATAAAGAAGGAAACCCCATGAAGAACGGGAGGCAACTGAGGGCGGTAACGTAGAACAACGTCATCAAACTTTATGGATCCGGAAGACGGCCATCCGGGAGGAGGACGGTTGTTTTCAATGACGGGTGGAGCCTCCGATGGTAACTCGATGTAATTCCCAACACGCTCAACCGCATTCAAACTGTTCTCGGCCAAACTCGCGAGTCTCAGAACGCTCGTTAACAAGCTAGTGATGTTCAGAGCATAACTGAGAAGCAAACCCATCGTAGATGCAAACGCTTGTTGGTTCTCCGCCCTTCCGTTCTGCATAACGGCGAACGAGGCTGTTAGCCAGATCATGAGACCGCCCAAAGTTTCCAGACGGATCGCAAGCCATCGGTTCGCGCTCATGTTCACGAGAGTGAATCTGATACTGTTATCCATCGCCCTTCCGTTGATCTCAGCCATCCGATCATACGCCTTGTAAGCACGGATTGTCGATAGGCCGTTCAGTGCTTCTCCGAACTGCGCATAAACGGGCGATCTCGAAACGGAATCCAACCGCTTCACCTCACGAGCCGTACTCTGGTAATAGAGGTAAGCTCCATAAAACAAGACCAAGAGAGGCATGATCGCCCACAAGGACAAAGTGCTCACAATTCCAATCAAGACAACAGTTGAAAGAAGCTGCGAGACTTGACCCATGAACATGTTTACGAATACAGCGACGTTCCTGTCAATATCTCCGAGATCTTTCGCAAAACGATTGATAATCCGTCCAAGAGGATTGGTGTGGAAGAACACCATTGGAGCTCTCAGTATAGAACCAAGCATAGCATCATGCAGCCTTTTGGCTGCATATAGACTGGAAGTGATCAGCCAGTATGAGTTGGTTAATGTCACCAAAACCTGAAACAAGAAACAGCAAATCAATGCAATACCATCAGAAATGTTATGCCTTACATATCATTTCGTTTCGTCGGTAAATAAAAGGAGAAAAGTTTCCTCCTTTTAGCATACCCTTGTTACGAAAAACCGATTAACAAACTTATCAGAATGAGTACTGAATGAAACACAACCCGTTACCTGTCCAAACGAAAGAAGAGCGTAAACGAGATTGTAGAAACCAGGTCCATGGCTCTTTGGGGATGATGAATCAGTCCACTCACTCAACCATGTGCTGCTTGAAACCCGAAATACTTCTGTCATGACATAGCATGAAAACAGTACCATCACTACCCATGAACCTCCTAGTGCATCCCGGTACCTGAAGAACTCGATAAAGACCGGATTATTCATTCTGAGAGCGGAAAAGATGCATCTGGGTGGAAAAAAAACGAATGTTTTAAGTTACCTCTTCAGAACTTTCCAACTCACAACTCCAGTTTCCCGTTCTTCTTGTTTGATGAGCACAGAGTTTCCTTCTTTAGGTTTCTTTGAATCTTTTCCATCCTTCTGTAGATCATTTGTTGTTCCATTCACAATGGGTCTTGAAGAAGTTTGATCTGTCTCAGATTCTCTATTTTCTTCGGCATATTCTTCGACTTTCCCCGCGTTTTCCATCAACCGTTGAAACAGAGGGCCGCTTCTCGATAGCTCTTCGTATGTTCCCTCTTCTTTCACTGTGCCATCATGGACAAGTAAAATCCGATCGACTTGTGAGAGAAAGTGGAGTTGGTTTGTAACGAGAACTCTCGTCTTCTGCCCCAGTTCCCTTTTTATGCATTTCTCGAAAACCTGAAATAGTAAAGTATGAGTAAGCTTTCCCTCGATATACAAAAACATGATATAGGACACGATAAATGCAGAAAGGAATTATCAGTCCCATGTTATCGGAAAGAGCCAGTTCTCTTGTTACCTGCTGACCGACATGAGCATCGAGAGCACTTAAAGGGTCATCGAAGATGTACACATCTGAATCTGAATAGACTGCTCTAGCCATAGAAACCCTCTGCTTTTGTCCTCCGCTAATGTTTACACCCCTTTCTCCAATCTCTGTGAGATCACCACCCTGCCAATCACGAGAAAGAAACCGGAAAAAACTTAGATACACGAAAACTTAGACGAGAATTCCCATTTATCGAGAGAACGAGAATGTAAAAACAGAAAGAAGTAAAAGCAGGAGTCGGGTACAAACAAAACTTACAGGCAGTAACTCAAGGTCATGCTGCAGGGCTGTCACATCGATCACCCTATCATACTTCTCGTGGTCAAAACGAGAGCCGAATAATATATTGTCGCGTACCTACAGAAATATGCATACGATGAGCATATCCTCGATAATATGTGAAGAGAATTCTCCAGCTAAAAACACGGAAGAACTTACAGTTGCGTTAAAGATCCACGAAACTTGAGGGACATAAGCAACGGATCCTCTAAGAGTTACTACCGCATCAGATACTGCAGGAAGTTCACCGAGCATGGCAGATATCAAGGAAGTTTTTCCTTCTCCTGTACTGCCAACCACCGCAACTAAGCTACCAACAGGTATATCCAAGTTGATATTTGACAGTGTCGGCTTATCTGCCTGCATATGATCACAAACTAACCATTATATTTTCTACGTTTCAATTATGAAAGGTGTATGGTATAGAATAAACAGATAACGACCTTTGAATCCCAAGAGAAATATCCGTTCCTTATCGAGATGGCTGGTTCTCCCAGTTCAATTGGAGGATTGGGTAAAAGAACCCTCTCCTCTGTCGACAACACCTCTTCCAAACGGTTTAATGATACCTTAGCATTCACCACCTATATATACGTAAAGCTTTATCAGAATCTCGAAATAACTTAAGAACATGAAAAGCGTGAACAATTAATCAGATTGAACAGATATTACGAGACTAATAAATCATTTCGGTTTCTGCTTCTGGAATTCAGAACAGAATGCCCCTAAAGCTCATCTACTTCAAATTCAAGCTAAAATTCAGAACAGAATGCCCCTAAACATATGCAACTGGATAAGATAAGGAATAAAAAAACATCGGGACACAAAAGAGATCACCTGAGTTATAATGTTGGGAAGCATGAATAAGGGGTAACGAAGCACGGCGAAAAGAGAAAGCGCTGTAAATGCTCTAGCAGGTGTCAGATCTCCTCCAAGCAACGAGAACACACCGAACGAAACAATAGTCACAAGGACAGGAATGCTGTTTAATATGAACATATTCATCTGTAGAAGAACAAAGGGAAAGAACAGGAATTGAGTAAGAAATATAAAATTTTAAAGAGAGGAGCATTCCGAAATACGCTTTACGCAAATGTTGCAAAACCGATATTCACTAAAAGGTGTTCATTGAAGAGATTTTCGCCTTACCGCTCCAAGCAGTTGTGCTTTGCGGAACCAAGATAACTCGTCATCCCGTACAGTTTGAACTTTGGACTGGAAACTGTTTTCCCAAGCATAACACCTGCAGCATTTTGGTTCAATCGTCAAAATTGAATCAGATTTTTCATGTTTCTCTTTCTATAGAAGCTTTCTATCTAGCCCATCTCCGTAGAATCCAAATGTACGGTTTCATACTTTACTGTATCCATCGCTGCTAGAATCTCATTCATAAGACCGATTCTCTTGTCAGTACGCTGCAAGCCCTCCTTCGTCAACTTCTGCATTTTGCTTATAATAACAGTCTGTTCCAACAAAATGGAGAAAACAAATGAATGTCAATTACGGTAATATTGCCGTAACATCAAACCCGTAAAGAGAGAAGCAGTAACATTTGGGTTACAAATGAAAAACATAACAGAAGTAAAGAGCGAAACAGCATTCGAGGAAAAGAGACCGAAGAGACAGTAAAGCACAATGACCTGTAAAGGGAACATAAGCACCAGCATCAGTGCACCAATGAGAGCGGCGAAACCCAGTTGCTGATAGAGGAGGACCAGCGATATGATTATACGAAATGGAGCCGACCATATCGTATGCAGTGATTGGCAAATTTGCTGTCATGAAGGAGGCAAAATTCTTTAGTATTTAGAACAGCATTTGCACCATAGTTACACCAGAAGCCATTGTGTGAGTGAAGGCCGTAACCTTATCTTCTTTCTATGGATGAGTCGGTCGAAATTTGCAAGAAAATAAATAAAAATTCGAAGGAAATCCATCTTCCGAAACTCCAATGACACATTAGCAAGGAATCAAAATGCATCAAGTTTCATGCAAGCAAATTAGTAGATCCTGTTCGGGAAGGAGATAATCTTAGTAAAGGCGTTTTAAAGATTCAAGAATCGCCTCTGAGTATCAAAAGAATATGAAGTATTACCACATGTCAAGAAACAACAGGGAAAAGGCAATTAAGATACACACCTGAAGGGATTCAGCATCAGTTGTCATTAGGTTAGTTATTTTTCCGGTTTGAAATTTCCTACGGCCCTCGTTAGTTAGCCTCAGCGATTTGCGAAATACAGCAGCAATCTGATAAAGGTTGAAGACATATTAAAAAAACAGAAACATTTCATTCATTCACCGCAATAATATTAACAATCCACCACCATTGCGAGGAAAATGCCAAGGTCATGGCTTCAAGAAAATGCATCAGCAGAACATGGATTACAGCTACTTCAGCAGAACATGAATGGCAGAAAAAGAAAGCCACAGTTATTAAATGGAAACCACTGAAGAGAAACTGAATTTACCAGCGTAGATCTTAGCCGGTAACCAACACGCATCACATTCTGAAAATATTGAGCTTCGCATAGCACACCCAACACCTGAAAATATGCACACCAAAGGTCAGGCACTCAAGAATGAAAGTGTCGCCCTCCGCTATATCATATAAGCACTTTAGAAAGTGCAACCAAGTTGGAGGAAAATACTAGATAGTACAAACATGTGTAACTGATGCTAATATCGAGCACGTAGTCTTGAAAAAAAATCAGTTAACACGATGATGATGCAGAAGAACACGAAGATAGTGAGAAAAGGGAGGTGCTTTTGTTTGTACCACTCCGACAAAGATTGAGAAAGCGTAGATGTAGCCTTTCCAAGCTGGATCATCTTGTTGCATTGACTGCAGATTGTTTCACAAATACAAAGTGAGATTTTTTCAAGAAAAAACACTCAAAGGGCAACTTATTCTAAGGACTTTCAACAAACAAAAAAGACCCATAATTTGGTTGGGACCAACTCCATCAGGAAGGTTTATGATAGATGAAGTTTAGGTGGCATGCGTTATGTTAGTTATAGTACTGTGGAAAGAAGGGGAAAGAACAAACCTTTAGGAGCTGATTCAGTAAAAGAGGCCCCACAAATTGGGAAAGATCATTTCCGATCTGTACAGAAAAACGAATATATATACATTTAATAATCTTACAAAACCTTTAAGAGAAATAAAGAAGACAAATAGCATCTGCTTCAGAGGACAAAATAACTAGTTCCCTACTGATGGGCAACAAGACCAGTTTTAGCACTTAAAATTGCTCAAATCCACCAGACATCCTTGGTCTTTTTATTCCTTTAACAGACAAACTTAGTCATGGGACTTTCTTATCACAAAGAAAAGAAAGGAGCTTTTTAACAAACAACACAATGGCGAGAGAGTAAACCACAAAAATAGTGCAGAGTGCAACCCAGCAAATGACGTAGAAGGCAAGAAGAGATAAACTGATGATAATAGAAGAACCGGGACATCAGCCCAACGTCTTCCACGCGATAAATGAAAGTAAAATGTATACTTCTTCCTAGCTAATGTCTCCCATGTAAGATCAGAGAGATGAGACCTCCAAAGGTATCAATCAAGCAAGTAAAAAATTGACCAGGCCTTGCTGAGCTTCATAATTAAACCAAGTCATACAATCGGATAAGGGGAGAGGTCAACATTGCAAACAAGGAAGAACAAAGTACCTTCCAAAAACCTCCCCACCAAAACCTACAAAATTCAGAAATAGGTTCCATAAGATATACAGCTCCAGACAAAAGGATAAAACAAAGGAATCACACAAAGAGACGAGAAAAAAACACCATGTCATGAGAAGTGTTTGTCTTTACCTTCCTCCAAGACTGCTATTTAATGCTCTCAGAAGCCATGGTTTCGGCTTTTCTAGTTCCTTACCCCAGGATCTCTGGAAGCTAAACAAGATACAGAAAACATCAAACAACCATGCTGGCCATAGATATTTTAAGAACGTTAATCCAAATAGAAACAGGCACCTCCTGATTAGAGTTTCGGTACGATCCCAAGTATCCAGATGCCATACATCCTTCTCCGTAAGAGGCCTTTTATATCCAAGAGTCATCAGTGGATTCATCCATGAGAAGAAGATTCCTGCAACCAAAGAAAGAAAGAGACATAAGGAAATTTTTAGTCAAACTTCAAGAGCTGACGAAGAATATTGTTCAATCCAATTTCCCTGAGTTCGTTTCTATATAGAGCAGGAAATAAATCAAATAACGTCAAGAAAGCATCAGTTATTAGTTATCCTCTCCTTAAGGAATTCCTGAAATTTGGGGAAGCATCAGTTGTTAGAAAAGTAAACATAATCAATTTCTGTCCAACCAAAATGCCAAGAATGACAAGAATGAGGAGTAACATACTGGCAAATAAGTTCGCGCGGGTTTCAGGACATATTTGTTCTCCAGAAGGAAGTTCTTCATACTCGTAATCATCCACAGTTTCAACCCGTAATGGTGTGTAACCAGGATAAGGGTCCAAATCAGGAAGATGCACAAACAAGAGGATTCCAAACAGAACCTGAATCAAATCCAAAAACCACCCTCTTTCTTCATCATGAAAAGATAACCTTACCCGAGCGCTATACACACAGCACAGGGAAAATCTATAATGCTGAAATCCTTCAAGGGCTTGTGGGATGTCTAAAGGAGATCAAGTATGCAAACCTGAATGGCAACCTCGCTGATGTAAAGATAGAGTACAGAACTGCGAAAAAAATTGAAACATAAGTGCAATGACATCAAAAAGGAAAATAAACTTGCATAAATTATAAAAATCCAAAATTTACCAACCTGTCACAGAACTCCTTTACAGAGAGAACAAGTTTTAGCAAGACCATGTCCCCTACGAGAGCATAGATGAGACCGAATCTGACATACCAACGGAATTCACGGATATATATCTTAGTGTCAAGAACGATCATGACAAATACAGATCCCCAAGTAAGAGCTTCGAGGAACAAGATGAACGTCTGTCCAAAAACCATAAAACAACATTAGCAATAAGGCAAAAGATACAGAACATAACTGCTTAGAGGATCCAACCAAAAAAACAGAAAGTGAGACCGGACACACCTCGTATGGAGGAACCCCATATCCATCTAAATCCAACACTGAGATTCCCATGATCAATCTGAACAAAGGCTCAGTAGCACCATAAGCAGCCAACAACCCCAGCAAATAACTATAAAGTTTTGACCTCAAGCAGAACCTCTCCACCTTGTGATCCTTTGCTGTGAGCCATATCCGATAAAGGCACAGACCCAACAGAATCAAGTGAGAGATACCGACAACCAAAGAGCCGGTTGCACAAGGCGTGTATGCACCAAAAACATTATCCACTGCTCTTGTCCATATGCCATGCTTCACCGGCTTGCAGTACCATTCCAATGGCTCAAACCCCATAATAGCTCTTTCCCGTTAAAACAAGAAAGCCCAGCTTCAACGCTTATACCCTCAGACACGGTTCATACTAAGTTACAAACAACCCTTTTTACCTGCAATAACAAACATGGAATTTGAGCACAGAAAACATACATATTGAGTTTTTCTGTTTGTCTGAATGTGAAATTCTGTATCAATGGTCAGAATCTAACTTACAGAAGCTCCTATGGAGAACACATAAGTACACAACCCAACTAGAAACTATAGAAAAGAAGAATCAACACACAGAGAATCCCACCGGACATCACCAATTACTAAAAAAAACACAGAGAACCCAAGCATCAGAAACGGAAAAGGACCCAAATATCTTCTCATTTCATTTTTATACTCAATTGGAGTAAATGGGCCACACATGAAAAACGTATGGAGAAAAACAAGTCATGATAACATTCGCGCGAAAAGGGGGAAAAAAAGCTTTCACCTTTCGATAGACACGTACTTTAATTTATCTCCAGAATCACAAAAAGAGAGACAGTGACAGGCAACAAAAAGCAAAGTCTCTCCAATCAAATGGGTCGAAGCACATTTTCTCGGAGAACAAACCCCAGAAGAAAAAAAATTTCTTTCCCCACAAGCAAGAAAGAAAACAAACCAGAATTGCTTCTCTGAAGAACAACTCATCATCAAGACAAGATCTCGTAAAAAGCACGAATTCAAATCGACAAGATTCGAAATCTACAAACTTGGCCCATTTTCAAGGGGGAAGAGGAGAGGAAAAAAAAAAGCAGAAAAGTTTACCTCCGACAGAGAGATATTTGCAATATTTGACGAATCTATGAACTCGTTTGGGCTGGGAGAAAAAGTGGGTATATCTCTCCTCAGCTCGATGAGTGAGAGAGAGAGAGAGAGAGAGAGAGAGAGAGAGAGAGAGAGAGAGAGAGAGAGGAGGGAGAGAGAGGGGAGGGGAGGTCACGTGGGGGAGTGAAGCAAGGAAAGGCAGAGGTCACGTGACAATGGGGCCACAAGGAGAGCCAGCTTGCGTCGGGCTGTTGGGCCTCTCTGATTCACATGGGATTCCCCAGTCAAAATTCCCTGTGGGCCCTACTCTTTTATTAACGTGTTTTTTTTTTGCGTTTTTTTAATCCGATTAGTCTAAAATTTATTTCCATACGATATATTCGGTCGAATAAATTTATTATAATAATCAAATAAATCACATTAAATATTTATCTTCAATTTAAAAATAATAATAATGATATTATTGTTATTACGATGGGAAACTCAACGCTGCGATATAAAATAATGAAATAATAATTAAGGACCAAGAAAAAAAGGTCGCAGGTACTAATGCGTACGACAATGGCCGGACCACACAGAAAATCTCGACCAAATACAAAAAGGAAGCACGTGAGAAACAACACTCTTGGATTTATAAAACAATTTATTTTTATTTTTTTGGTAAGATCTCATGATATAATTAATAAAGACTTTGTATAAGATGCGTTGTAGCAGTACACTGGCTTGCCAATATCATGAATAAATTAGAACGTTCACAAGATTATAATGATTATATAGTATATAAAAAAATTGGTATTCGATGTGTTCGTTTAATATTATCGAAGATATTATAAGGAAAAATAATTGAACGTTCGAATATTTTACGGGCAGAGAGAAACTATTCATTGATACAGCACAACAACAGTGATACAAAAGTTTCTTCTTTTTTTTTTCTTGTCAAAGGACCACTTAATTTCTCATTCACACGATTATCATACTTTCATCAAAATATAATTCATGTTCGTCGTTCGATTTCAATATATGTTCAAATAAATATCCGAATTGTAAAACTTCTATATAAATACTTGAACTTTTCAAAAATATTATAGAAATATCTAAACTTTTTTAAAAAATTCCAAATTAATCTAAAATCCGTTAAATATTTTTTTACTTCTATATATATATATATATATATAGATATACTATCAATATATCGTTTACTTCTAATATACTAATTTTTTAAGCTATAAGATCAACAAGACGAAGCAAAAAATGCACAACACAAATGATATTATTGTTATTATCGACTAGTTTCATCATTTTACATATTTATTTTAAAAGGTCAAAAATGGTACCACCACACGTCACGTGCATATGGGTTCCGATTGAATAAACCATAGACTTGACTTGAGGTGGATATATATCATTGTTATTATCAACTAGAGATAAAAATATTATTAGGTTTACTATTTGTAATTCCAAATTATACATTTTTCATTCAAGACATCGTTTTTTGTAAGCAGTTATGATAAAAAAGAAATTAAATAAAAAACAATTTGTACATAAAAAACATTTTCAAGATATAAAAGCAACGTATCATTTTCTTGTCTTGGTCGCTATCCTCGGTCGTTTTTTGTAATTTTGACAACCTAGCAGGCCTTGTGTTTTACCCTTTATACGTATTCTTTTTTATATGTTGGTCATGTAGAGAGACGATATATATTTTGTAATCTACGAAAAGAAAACTATATATACATACATGTGTATATATATATATATATGTGTGTGTCTCTAGATTCTTTTCTTCATGATTGTGTGTTCTATGTTTTTTAAAATATATAGTGTGTTTAAGTGTCCAGATATAATAACATATATAATAAGGTTATTATACGGTTTTTGCAGAAATTTCTTTATATATATATCATATATGTGAAGTTTTAGAGAAAAAAGAATAATAGAAAAAATATTTAATCCAAATTCTTGTCTCATGAATTTGATTTAAAAATTGAGAAAAAGGCTCTTCCATGAATGGAAGAACAACTAAGCTCTGTCAAGAAGAAGAAGAAGAAGAAAGGCGAAGCAAGAATCATACAATACAAAACCTCATATGATTCGTTTCTTCTCTCTTCTTCATTCCCTCTCCCCAATCACTTCCCCTCTATAATTTCGTCAATTCCCCTTCTCTCTCCGCATTGAATCCCTCGTTATCTCGCTGGTATTTCCACGTCTATGTGTCGTCTCCTTCTGCAGCGTTCATTTCATAGCAACAACTCGGAGTTGAGTGATCAATTTCTCGAAATCCGCTTCGTTTCCGCCTAAACGAACTCAAACTAGGTTTGTTTTTTGTTTTTTTTTTTATGAGCAAAAGCTCGCAGATATTTCTGTACGTGTGTATAGATAGATTGTTCTTCTTAATTTGGTTATTTCGTTGTGATCATTCATGAATTCATATGCTTTACAGCCCAATGTTGTGTTCTGTATTGTGCTTTGCTATTAAGATTGTGCTTGGTTGCAGAGTCTGCAGACACTCATAGGTTTGATTTATTTTTTTCAGGACCCAGAAATTTTCTCGAAATCTGTTTCGTTTTTTGGTTTTCTGGAGCTTATTTTATCACAAATCCATCTGTTTGTTTCCCAAGAAAATTTTAGGGGAAGAAAATGAAGATCTGAATTAGTTTTCTCTGCGTTTGCAAAGAAAATGATGTATGATCATCAACGAGAGGTTCTGGAGATAATTATTCGTTGTGTGTTCAGGAATGGTTCAAACTTTTCTTTTGTTTGGGATGTGACCCTGAATCTGATTAGAGTTTTCTTGAAATCATGAGGTGTTTGAAATGATGTTGAGAATGTTTTGAATGTATTGCTTAGTCCTGGAAATTGTTCTTGATGATGATTTTGGTTTGATTTGATTACTCCATTATGCAGAAAACCTCTCGCATGTTGCAAGAGAGCTTGATGGAAGGGAAACAACAACTAGATTTCCACCGTCCCCTTCTATCCATTAGGCGGCCCGAGAACGCGACAAGATCTCGTGATTCAGCACCCGGTATGTTTGATCCTCCGGTTCACAAGTCTGAGACAAGATCAGGTCCTGTCCGAAACCCGGGAACTATCCCCTTTCATTGGGAGCACAAGCCAGGAAAACCAAAAGGTGAAAGCGGATCAGGCATGAAGCAACACTTTGCGCCGAAGCTTCCTCCTGGTCGGACATTGAATCCTCAAGATCAAGAGCCGGGGAGAAAGGCTGAAACTAAAGTTTCTGTCCATATGAAAAGGGGGAATGTTTCGGCTTACGAGAGCCCCGTTGCTGAAGGTACAAAAAGTTACGATGAGGATGCAAGATCTGAATCATTCTTCTTGAACTGCAGTGCCAGTGGTGTAAATGGGTCAGATGGTCCAGAAACAAAGCCCTCGGGAATCTTCTCAAGCGATCCACAAACGCGGGATCTCTTGATGGGACAGGCTAAAGCCATGGCATCAGAAACACCTCAGCATCTGTCTGGAAACCCGCCTTTACCACCAAAAGAACAGCCAAGGCAAATGAAGAAGGTCATTCCCGTGAGAATGCAAGCCCAAAGGGCTGTTTCTGTGCGTAGTTTGCGTCGCATTTTTCCGAACTCTACACATTATCATGAAAATGACTACAAGGTACTGTCATTTTTCCCTTCACCTGTTTCCTTTCATGTTGTGGTATTCTGTCTTTTCTCTGATCAGATTGCTCTCTTTCTTTATAGCATGTCAATGGAGCTCGACAGGAACAGAGGTCAACCCAGACATGCCAGAAAACAGATATGCAAGAAGACAAGGTGAAGTCAAGCACACAACCTAACCAAAGTGCTTGTGAAACACAGAAACAAAATGGGTCGGTTCTACAAGGATCTCCTAAAGCTGAAGGAAAGGAGAAACCTGAGAATTTTCAGACCAGTACAAACGATTCACGTAGTAAAACCAGCAAAAACTTTGGAGAGCTATTGGCCAGTGATGATAATACATTGGAACTTTGCCTCGAGAAAACTTTGTATGTAGATACTGTACATACGGCCAAACCCCCAGACACAGACGCAAAGGTACAAGTCAAGTCCAAGTGTCATTCACCGGTCCAGGAGTTGAGTGAATGCAGAAGCCTAAAAGTGAATGCCCATCAAAATGCTCGATCCGAAACTGAAGTGCCAAGCAAGAAATGCATGCAAGAACCGGATGAGACTGGCGAGGATAAGAATGATCTAAAAAGTTCCAATGGCCGTCAACACCTTCTTCCTCTGCCATTGCTAAAAGCTCCTTCAGATTCATGGCTGAAGCGTACTTTGCCTACAATGTCGTCCAAGAACTCGCTTGGCAGTGAAACCTTCACAAAGATTCGAGCCCGTCCAAAGTGGGAGACAATGGTCAAGACATCCAATACAGGGCAGGGACTTAAGGTAACATATCCTTTCCATTTTAACAGGAATCTTCTTCTTGATTCATTAACTAAATGTCCATTGTTGAATCTAAAGTTGGGCAAACGAATGTTTTGTTTGACGGAACATAAAATGCTTTCTTTAACTTGTTAAAGATGATGATGATCCACTATTCCAGGAGAAACTCAACTCTATACCAGAGGCATAGCCAAAAGCAAAATCCTGAAATCTTCTCTCCTGAGGTAATTCAGAGACTGTAAAATCTTTCTTCTTTCACAGGAATGAGGAATAAATCAAGATTCTCCTGTAAATTTCACCAATTATAAAGGACCATCTAAATGGGATTTTTACCTCTCTCTTAAATTCTTTTATGTAAATGTAAACCGAAAGATTCAACAAAGAGGAGGCTGATCAAGAGAATGCCACTCTTGGAAAATGTTTATGAACTCTGTACAGACAGCTCATGTGATATTTCCTCCATCTGCCATTTCTGTCCTCTGCCAATCTCTTTTTGCATTGAGCTCAATTCCCAAAAAGATGAAAGATACAAAGTGGCATATGCTATATATATATATTATTCAAATTGATTAATTAAACTTTGGACTCAACTACATTAAATCTGAATCAAAAGACAACCTTGTTGGGTGTAATTAAATTGTACCATTATTTTCCGACAGTCACTTAAAGATGCGATATGAGAAATACACCACATGGCTAATTCTGATTGGGTGGTATATGTTCAGTGGCGTGGCGGCCCCAAAAAGATTTATAATTGGGGTATGGTAGTAAGTGTAGATTTAATTTTGTAATGGGAGATTTAACAATTTTGATTAAGATTTATATATAATTTATAATGAAATTAAAATTTTTTTCATAAAAAAAGTGTTGGTATGTGACCCCATAACCTTCTAATCGGCTCGTCCTTGCATATGCTATATCTTACAAGGGTAAAATAGTCCCCTCCCCCCTTCATTTTATAGGAGTTTAATGAGTTTGTGGAATTATGAGCCGAATAACTAAGGGTTATTTTTATTTAAATGTGATTAAGGTATGAACCTAAAAAAAATTATGGACCATTACCCAATATTATTTCTTATTTCACGTATTTATATTTGATTTGGTTTCAAATGGTTTTATGGAAACGATGTACATACAGTTTCACGGTTCATCAAATAAAATAGCCTTGTGGCCATAATAATACCACGTGACGTTTTTGCTTCGTTTGCCATTTTAGCTCTCTGACTTGTGCGCTTCTGCGCCTAGCTCGCATCCCAAAAGGTGAAAGATGTATGCCAAATATTTAATGCGATGTTACAGCTTGGTTAAACCGTATATATTTCGATTTAAATTTGATTAAGGTACGAGTTTATATATATATATGTATAGGACCTAAAAAAATTATACACAATTACCCAATATTATACCGTATATCTATATTTTGATTTTGTTTCGTCATTTTTCAGAGATGTTTGTAAGATAATTGGGATTTATTCCATTTCTACATCTATTTATATTGGAACCCCTAAATCTAAAATTATCAATATTCCTCACCATATAATTTTGGTCAAGGTGCTGCTTTTGATTCTTTTTTAAATTTTTACTAGGTAAGAGAAAAAACCCCCATTTTTTCAATGCTGTCATATATATATATATATATATATATACATGTTTTGTATATACTTTTCATCTCGAACAATTAATTTAATTTTTCTGATTTAAAAAATATAGTTTTTTTTTCTATAACTAGAACGGGACCTGAAAAAATGCCAGTTTTCTTTTTACTAAAATGTTATTACGCAAAAAGCAAATTTTTGGATATTTAAATCTCCATCCCTCTCCACAACATTTACCCATCATTGTGATCTCTTCGATCATTTAAAAAAAAAAGAAAAATGGGGAGAATTCATCATCTTGTTGAAGCTGTTCCTGCACGTGTAGACAACAATGGTCTCTTCCTGCTCTTGACAGTTATTGTCTCTCTCGCACTCGTGTCAATGGTGGTTTTCATTTGCGGTGGTAAGAAGAAGAAGAGTGGCGGCGGCGGCTGCGGGGGCTGCAGCGGCGGCGATTGTGGAGGCGGCTGTGGTGGTGGTTGCGGCGGCGGCGGCGGCGGCGGCAGTTGAGTTACGGCTCCTCCATGCAAAAATATATCAAGCATTTTATATTTATATGCCTCTAAAAGCTAACCAAGATATGTCACGTTTGATAAATGGGCATGAACTAATATAAGTGAAATAACATCTACCACTTTACATGTGTTTGTGTTTTTATTTTATTTTATTGTTTTTAATGCTCGATTATAAATTAGGGATTTGATTAAGACTACTGAACCTTAGCTTGAGAGATTGAGAATCAGCAACAATGTTTGAGATCGAGAATTACTAAATCAATATTGAGATCACTAATCTTCGTTAATCATTCTAAAAATATATTTTATTTTGTTTTATTTTTTTTATGATATATTCAATGTGTATACGATCCAATGACCCTATATTTATATACTCCATCCGTTTTTAAAATGAATGCTATTTTAGATTTTATTAAGAAATTAGTGGAAAAGTCAAATATATCCTCATTAACTTATATGTTAATACTCTATTAAAACTAAATATTTTAATTAAGAGCAAATTAAAAATTTATTTAAAAAATCAAAAATAACATTTATTTAGTAATAAGATAATTTTTTTAAAACGATATTTATTATAAAAGTATGGTTGTATCAAACGAAATATTATATAAACAAGACTTGAACGCTGGGCCAGATCCGAGGAGAAAGCCCAGATAGTGGAGTACAAAGTCTGAAACCCTAAAAACTTTTAAATTAAAGCTCTGTGCCCACCAAAACCCTAATCCGCAGCAACGGCGCAAGTCTCCGTCTTTCCCCCTTCTCGCCGGAGAATGAGCTACTCGGCGGCTCGTCCGCCGCAAAAACCCTCGAGGGACGATCCAAATACCGTGTATATGGCTGTAAAAACTCTCCGAAAAT